AAATGCATGTTTCTATTTTTATAACAAATAGCAATATTTTGATGTAGCGTTTATGAATTTCCAAAAACAAGTGTTTTTTGAACCACTCTAATGTGTACATATGTACATGTAGCCATATGCATACTCGATCTGTTGCACTTAAAATCCACTTGGCATTACTTCAGTGCCATTTTTAGCACTTGCATTTTACCGCATTGCTATTAATTACCAATAATTAATTGGTTTTCATTTTTATATAGTACATTTTACCAGAAAAATTTCACTCCAAACAAATGTTTGTTTAAAAAAATGTTTATTTAGTGTCGCTAAATTCATTTGTTATTTTTGCCGTATTTTGTTTCTTATTCACTAATTAAAACTCCCATTTTTATTTATCTGCGTTGATTTGCAAACAAAATTGGCATTAACTAAACAACGCAATTAAGCGAATCAACATTTTGAATCAACGGCTTTCTCAATTTGTAATTTTAATCTGAAAAAAAACAAGAAAATCCTGGAAATAAAAAGAAAATGCATTAAAAGTTATTTTTAATTAGCGCTATAGTTGTCTATTTTTTTTTTTTTTTACAGAGACTGCCAACCATATGGCAATAAGTGAAATTAATAGTTTAGTCATCTCCTTAACAACTTCCATTTGATAGGTTTTGATGTAATTTTGGTGTTTCATAAAATTCTGGAAATCGTGTACTTCTCAAACCCACTTAATGTTTTTCTACCAAAGTTAATACTCATATCGTGGCAAACCTACAAGAATGCCACACAAACTTTCAGGAGTTCCGTCCGAACGGCACAAACAGAACATTAGAAAAACTTATGCGGCAACTTTGAGTGTACCTCAGAGGGCAACCGATTACGTAAGGTCCTATCAAAAACTCCAGCTGCCCCTAATTATATCCAAAACTCTTAGGGTCACTCTTCACTAATATTTTCAATACATGCCTTACTCCTTGCCACATTGCTAGAGAATGGGCCAAGGCTAGGGCAGTCTTAATACCTAAGGGAGTCAGGGTCTACCATGTCAAACCCAATGAATTCAGGTCAAAAAGCTTAACCTCCATTTTTTCTTAAAATTCTTAACGAATTTACTTTAGGAAGCTTTCTTGACAATATTCTTCCAGACACCATCGTGGAGTAACTTTTTCAAGTGGGGCTGGAACGGCCATTGGTGGAACTTATAATACTCCTCCTTGGAGGAAGAACTATCTCCTCAGAGTTGGGGGTTGCGTCCATAACAAAGTATGCAACTAGAGGTACCCCTTAAGCAAAAGTTCTCTCTCCCATACTCTGCAAGCTTATGGTAAATTCAATTATCCTGAGGCTGCAGATTAACGGCTCTCATGTCATAGGAGCTTATGCTGACGACATTGCACTTACTGCGATGGGAAAGCATCTCCAAACACTAAGCGAACTTTTGCAGAACGCTAGTCAAGGGATAATGTAGTCAAGGTCAATACCACCAAGACCGAAATCGTAATATACGCGGGGATATATAAGATATCTTCTTTTCCCACACCTCTCTATGGGTCGTTACCATTTATTTTTACAGCCAAACAGCGATTATATCTCTACAGTACAGCAACACTTCTTCGAAAACGTAGAAGAACTTTAAACGAGCTTACCGCAAAAGTCACCATTAACATGGTATGGCTACCCGGGCACAGTGAAATACTTGAAAACTGCGCGGCAGGCGAGCGTGCAAGGAGGGAACTGACGTACGCTCAGTTAATGCGGTGCATGATACATCCCTGTTTTCATGTAAGCACTGGCTGAAATGTGTTTTAATTGAATTGGCCAATGAATTATGGGCGAAGGAGCCAACCTGTTCCGCTACTAAGCAGATCTGGCCCAGTACCAATGAGAAAAGATTTAAAACTCTCATATGTGTTGATCGCTCCATTCTTAGAGCAGTGAGCGCTTGCTAAGCGAATGAATTATCCTGCTAAAGTTTTATGTCGTGGCTGCCGAGACGAGGAGGAGGTGGAAACTGTAGAGCGCTATCTCTTCCGCTGCCCCGCTCTGGCAGGATTGCGCTTTGTTAGTTTTCGTTTTCGTTTGTCAAGCTTCGGGGGTGGGGTTTAGTTCCACCCTGTAGGTTTGCTTCCCCTCTGGGGGCTTAGCATTCCCTCCAGCATCTGCAGAAGACCGAAACTACCTGTGCCTAACAGGCCTTCTCGTCGCGACGGTGACAAGCTGTTTCAGAGATGGTTGGTGGTTTGGACTTTTCTTCGCCGTATTCAGCCGAGGCTCTACCTGTGCAGGGTTCTGAGGCTACTCTATGTTTATTCATTTTAACTGGTTCAGCTGAGGCCTTTTAGTGGCCGGAAAAATGGAAAGGGAAAAAAACGGTCGACTACGGCAGAGCTCCATGCCGGAAGCCTGCGGGAGAGTATTGATATATTTTTAAGTGGCGTCGACTGGGATAGTCTAAGTTGTTTAAATTTAAGAGATAAAATTTCAAACTATTAGGGTACTCAGCCAAACTCGTTAATGTAATAAATTGTTATTCGATAACTCGGTAACACTTTTGACTTCGCTCTTCCTTCTCGTTATTTATTTTTGCGCCACAAAATTCTAGCACGCAAGTGACAGAAAGAAATCAGCTGATGTTTTAACGAGTGTTTACTCACATTATCAGACCTGCAATCTCGCTAAGTTGGTATTGATTTATTCGGTAATTCGGTAAATTTACAACACCAAAATAATTGTGAAATCTACCGAATACCGAATTGCGACATTAACGAGTTTGGTCTGAATACCATTTCATGTTGAACAATTTTGTTAAATAACGTTGCAAATTATTTCGAAAGCGCCATATGTTTATACATACATACGTAAATTTGGCGCATTCAAGACCATAAATGAAGGTCAGTGAACCTAAAATGGCATCGTTATTTTGTCCATTATATTTCCACAAAACTTCGGCAAGCTGGTCTAATAATAAACGTTTTGTTCATTACTAAAATAGAATTGCCAACAAAAAGCACATTAGAATACACAAATATCTGAAAAACTATGTATGTACAAATAAAGGCTTAGCTAAACTCTGCATAAACAAAAAAAAAACATAAATAAATAACTGTAAGACAAAATGGAGAATAAAAAAAGTCAATAATTCAGGTAATACACGCGACCAACTGTCACTCAGTCAAGTTTAAGGTCAAGTCATCCATAATTGGCTAATTGCTTGGACGGCTGCTTGCCGCTTACTAAACACAATATTTGTTGCTCACGGCAAGCTGTTGTGATTTTATCCATGCCGAATCAGTGCCGGTTATTTGTACACACACACACACTGGCTAACAAATATACATATGTACATTAGACTGCGTCTAATAAAGCGAATGTTTATTTTTTTAACTTTTGGTCCCATTGGAAAATTTCGTGGACAGTCACAAAAATATAATTTTGGCAAAATTTCAGCCCTCTGTCGTCATTTTTCAGTTAGCGCTCGCAAAAATAAGAACTTTTCATGCAAAAAATTTGTTTTCGATGTTTTTTTATTTAATAAACTATTAAATATAACAAATTAATAAAAAACAACTTGTAGTCTATTAAATTTTAGGGAAATAAGCGCAAATCTGGTGATTTTGGCTGGTGCCGGTAATTTTTTCCCATACAGTATGTTTTATGACTTGTTTAAAGGAAAAAAATTACTAAAAATCAAAGGTTAGTCCTAGCTTCTTCAAACTTGCATTTGTTATACCAAAATTTAATGAGCTACGAGGTTATTTTTTTTATTTCTTAGATTTAAATGTAGAAGAATGTTTTTTTTCATTAAAAATTCTTATTCTTGCGAGCGCTAACTAAAGAATGGAGACAGTGGGCAAAAATTTTGCCACCTATTTTTTGTGACCAACAAACGAAATTTTCATATGGGACCAAAAGAATAAAAAATCGTTTTATTTGACACAGTCTAATGTACTGCACAATTACGTAGATGGCCGTACAACTTTCTGACTTGTAACTGGTTGTTATGACTATGGCTCGTATGCCTTCACGACCGCTTTACCCGTTGATGTGCTAGCGGTTGTTGTATTTGGTATTTATGACTTGACTGCATCAAAACAAGTTCCGTCGCACATTCCATACGATTTTGACTATGTATGGATGTACATTAGGCGGGTCAATTTGTATGGCAGATTTTTTCGAGTATTAGCGTATAGCACAGAAGGATTTTCGTGTAATTCCAAGCAAACTTGCCGAAGAAACAATGGTCTATAATCAGTTTTGTCTTTGCCGTTAAAGAAGTGTTAAATTTTATATAAAAAATGTCCCTCCCGAATGTACATACATACATACATGCATTTGTATGTATATCCTAAGCGCCCCCATTCAATGAGGATAATTACGCAGTATGATCATCAACAGCTGCATTCTTAGGTACAGAAAGGAGAAATAATCAGAGGAAAAATTTTTTACTGTAAAACCAAATTATTTGTCTTTTAAAATTTTCTCCACTTCTGCTAATATAAAATGCGCTGACATTTACCCAATTCATTTGCTCAGCATTTAATGGCTTATAGTTTTGCTACTGCCCGCGCATTTACATCTGCATACCCACCGCTTTCTTTAAAATATTCACTCACTCCCGAGTTTGTCGAAGTAAGTCATATGAACGGTGCAAATTTTATTGCACTTAAATTGCTGTCAACCATTTGCACATCATCAATGCAGCAACATTTATGGTTGTTTACAATGGATCATAATTGAAAAGCTATTAGCACTTTTCTGCCAACAGCAACAACAACAAGGACTTAAAACGCAACAAACAAGGAAAGAATTTGTTAAATTGTCAAACTTTTTATTCTATCAAAATTTCGATATCTACGATGATATACATTCGCCATGGTGTTTATGTATTAATGTACATACATACATATATATGTGTGTGTCTGTGTTGTTTCACTTATTGTAGTAGTTCAACAACATTTTTCAAATAAGTGCTTTCTTTTTGTTTGATATTATGAATAGTTATTATTGACAGTTATCTTTTATATTACAGATTCTTCTGACATCGTCGATTGTAAACTAAAATTAATTCTCGGTTTAATATGGACGCTCATTTTACATTACTCCATCTCTATGCCGCAGTGGGATGGCGAAGATGAAAGCCAAGTGAATGGTTCTGGTCCGACACCGAAGCAAAGGTAAGTTTTGTTTTTGTAAAGCAAACTTTTTAATGCATGGTATCTACACTTAAAAGGTTTTTAATTGTTTTTTATGGAATTACTTTTTTCTTATATGATTTCTTAACTCTCGGAAAGAAACCAAATAAACGTAGAGTAATGCAATAAAACAAAACAAAAAATAAGTTTGATCGAACCCTGCGCGCCTGCTCGGCAAGCAGCGTTACTCCGTTCTCATCAAGTTTAAGTAAACACTCTTAGGGGTCTATCACTTTTTTGATGAAATCCTGACCTATATATATTAGTTTTAATACTTTGCTTCACATTCAAATAGTAGCCAAATCCATTTAGATATTCCAAATTTTCATACCAGAAGTCTGCTCCACAACATACCCTTAAACGCTTTTACACCAGCAAATTGAAAATTATAGTTTTTCTATGGCCTTTGCTGTCCACTAGAAGCCATTGTGTTTTGTCAGTGACATCCTTTTTGAAAGGAAGTAAGGTACAGTCCCAGAAGTACTCAACTTCTAAATTATTCTGAAACGCCTAATGAGGGATTCATAATGCAGTTACTCCATAGAACTATTAACTTCCGCAGACCAAGACATCCAGACAGCAGCTTTTGTTAGCCTTATAGTTTGTGATATTAGTTTTACATAGAAGGTGTGGGATTTCTAACAAACTCTTAGCTTAACCGCAGCGATTTAGGCTAAACGAACAGTACCTCACAAGATTTTGCCCATGCGGTTTCAGATATACCCAACAATTCCCCGATAAATATCGACCCTATATATATTTGACTTAGTTCCCATAATGTGACAGTTCCCCAGCTTTCTGATGCACTTATAAGCTCAACTATATTCCTTTCAACAGAGACTGATTAGTTAGTTAAATAATTGGGTGTCGCAGAACCGAGAACATTGTGGCCGGAAAAGACCTTTTGTATTCAAGAAAAAGATCTTGTTCCTGAATGCCCAAGATATGTTCGTCTTCAAAAAAAAAACTATAAATTTACATGGATGGGCAGGCCGGACAAAAACAATGTATTCTAAATTCTCCGCTTCCGGTCTCTTCAATGCAAGACTGGCATTCTGCTTCCGTGTACGTGAAAACATAAAGGATTGTGTTAGAAAAATGTGATATCTCTTCTGCTTATTCCCTACCGCTCCCGAGTACTAATTAAACGATTGTAGCCAAATAGATACACAGTTAGTAACTAGATAAAAGTTCTACCTATTTAATAAAATAATGGCGTTTCTATCGCAAGGATTGCCGAATTGTCTGTCCTGTCTAAGGTCTCCCACATCTCCAACTAAAGCCAACTAAGCCCACGAAATGGTTCCATTAGCACAAAGTCAGCTGAGGGTGTCTTTCGTGGCAGCTACTCAGCAGCCTCTTTGGCTCCGACCACTCAGTGGCCTGGTACCCAGCACCATCTTACTTTTTACAGTGCTTCCTGCGACCTTACAAGTTGTAAGTTAGAACTGATGCACACGACCCCTGCGTATGGAGAATGACACCTCTCTATTAAACTTGAATTTAGACCCCATGTTCTACAAGTAATGCTCCTGCAGTCCCACATGGCACGTGTACCTTTAGCAAGTGTTTTATCAAGAATGCAATTCCAAGAATGCATCACTGCTAAGTATTTTACCTCGTTGAAGCATTCAAGCATAGTGCCTCCAAGCGTGACCGAATCAAGGATTGGTCCTCATAGCCACAATAGTAAGAAACCACAGTAAAATCTGCAAGTAATTTTCCCAGTAACTTTAATTACCAGGTCCTCCGCGTACTCCATGGCATCGTAATTCAACTCTTGTAGTATGATTAAGACGTAGTCTACCACGAGAGACCAAAGCAAGGGAGACTCAGATCTGGCTCTGATCTTCATGTGAGGGCAGAGATTATCCTTGTTAGTTTGCATTGCTGGACAGATTTTCAAGTTGTAATTTCCCAACTCAGTGTACCCGAAGGCGCAAATACTTAGTTTGGAACCAGAAATAATACATATAATTGTAATTGGGTACAATTGTGGCATCCTTCCTTAAATAGTTGGCTAAAGCAATGTCTTACAAAAATTTTCCCGAACGATTTCTGTGTACTTATTTCACTTCCGAAGAAAAACATACATTTACCCATAATTATTGTCATTTTTGCGTAAACAGTATAATATTCAGTTTATTTATTTTGGAATGAATTTTTGTCTTGATTTGAATTACGTCGAGCTGTCTTTGTTAATTAAGATGACTTCGGCTTGTCCAATGAAACAGAGACTCTTGGTATTAATAGAAATTGAAGTAAATTCCTTCAATAGTCGCGTTACCAGTAGGCCCAACAACTAATCTATTGAAGGAAATTTTGGTTGATCATTTAGTCTTAATGCAGGCACCTATCGAATGTTTTCCGATCATGCAATTTAACATTGTTAAATTTATTTTTATGGTAGGCTTAAGAATACTAGAACGCCTAATTGCCATTGTTTCGAATGATTGGCGAAAGAGCGGTTAAAATCAGCTCATAAAAATAAAAATAAAAATAAAAATCCTTCAAAATAAAGAATTTATAATTTACACTTTTTAATATAAATATAAGTGTAAGAATCCTTGTTTATTTACACATCTGAATAATACTTACTTCTATTACTCTACACTCTACTTTCAGACTGCTCAATTGGATCCACACGAGAATACCTGAAATGCCGATCAACAATTTCACCAATGACTGGACCACCGGTAAGGCGGTGGGTGCTTTGGTGGATGCCTGTGCGCCTGGCCTTTGTCCCGACTGGGAACTGTGGGATCCCAAAGATGCTGTCCAAAATGCATCCGAAGCTATGGGCCTCGCCGATGACTGGTTGAATGTACGTCAACTTATCAAACCTGAGGAATTGGTTAATCCCAATGTCGATGAGCAATCGATGATGACCTACTTGTCACAGTATCCAAATTCCAAATTGAAGCAAGGTGCACCACTACGTCCCAAGACCAATCCAAATAGGTGAGTTCTTAACGAGAAAATGCATATTAAAAAAAAAAGTATACTCATTTACATAAATAAGTAAACAATTGTTATCTGTGTATACATTTTCTGAACATGTACACTTCCTAAAACTGAATTAACTGCAACCGGCACGTGATTTTTTCAAATTTCAATTTACTTCTTTCGACGTTTTTCTACTTGTCTTTTACTCTATTTGTGTGCGTGCGCATATTTTCCGTTTATGTATACTCAAATGTAATACCGAATATACATACATACTCTTTTTCATATTACTGACTTTTTTGTGTTAACGTATTAAGTGTTTTAATTAATGATTTTTCGCATATCGAAATTTTAATATTACTCACGTCAAATTCCTTGGAAATCAAACTTTATAATCTAATTTGTGTATTTTCTTTTTTCTTTGTATATCTTTTTACGCGTATGTATTTCAAAATTGCTTATCGGATATTATTTTTTGTTCCAAACCCCAAACAAAACAAAACAAAAAAAATCCGAAAATTTAAAACAATGAAAAAACACAAAACTCAGCATTCCTCCACCGCGGTAAGTCTGGAATGCTTGCATATTGCTATTTTTTAACAGCTAAACGCGGCTACATAAAGCAAATTGTTTCGTTTCTATTGTTTGAAAAACAGCTTGACTGCCATGTACCAGTTATTTCATTATTTTTTATTTAAATACTTTTGCGACGTCTTTCTACTAGCCAGAATAATGGTTTAGTGCCTTTCAACTTTCTTGTTTGCGCAGAGTTTTTATGTTTTTTTTTTTAGAATCAATTTGCATTTATCTGTTTCTGCACATTCACCTTTCACCGCTCTTCAACACCAAAATCAATCTAACGAGCACGTAATATTCCATTTTAAAGAACTTTTTAAGTAGCCAAGTTCGCGAATGTATTCTGTAGATTGTATAATTATACTTATTGTTTGGTAAAAATACGAATTTTTTTACTGCATATAAAATATAGTGGTAATATGTATGTGAAGAATTGTCTCCATCAAAATGGACTAGAACCTGTTAATGCCATTATTGTTTAAATGAATGAAAAAAGAAAATAGCCAGCGCTGCTTATTTTAAACAATTGCCGTGGTGTATATGTATTTTAGCTGTGCGAGTGCTGTGTGAGAGAGCGCTATTTGCATTGCATATCAGCAGGCGCTATTTGTAAATGCAGAAAATGCTAACTAACAGTCAAGGTAAAACCAACAGAGAAGCTATACAGATAAGCTTTACAGAAACTGTTAATATATATGTGCATTAGGGTGGGTCGATTTTTTATGGGGGAGGGTTAAAGTTATTTCGTCTAATTTTAATAGTGGAATTAATTAGTTTTAAGCAAGTAATAATTGGCCATAAAAAATTTAAATTATGTAATATCTCGTACCTGCATAATTGACTCAAAGTGTCGGAATATATTCCCTAGGCAAATTTGATTGCTAATATGAGACGATTTGGGTATTCAGTATTAGGAAGTCACAAAAAGTTCACCAAACAATCAGAACACAATCGGGGACATTCAACTGATAGCATGTTCCAAATGGAGCTCAATAAGAGTGTATGCCATTTTGTTAGTGCTGCTCCAACAGTCGCAATGGCCGAGTGGGTTTATTTCCTAATAAAATAATAAATTTTTGTAAAAAAAAAATAGTTCCTTACTCGTCTGTACACACGTTTCTGCCGTACACTTTAGTGGGAAAACGGATAGTCAAAGTAAATATCCAAAAATGTATTCTTTAAACGGACAAAAATGCGCATTTCATCCACTTTTTTCCTTTTTCGTATCCATTTTTGGATTTTTTTGCTGGCTGGGTATGTGCAATTGATTCCGCTGATCCTTCTGAGCATTTCGGCCTTTTGTTTATACGCATTCTCCAAAAAGTATTAACCTAATTTTTTCTCTAAGTACCTTTATATTTTTGTTTTTTTCTTTTCTTTGGTAATTTCTAAATAACTTGAATTGCACCTGTAAACACGATTTTTGGGTCTCACTTCTACATGTTAAATATTAGTTCCTCCTACGCCAAAAATAAGGGAAAAATTATTTTTTTGATCAAAGTTTGCTTGTGTAAAAACTAGAGCAGTTTAAATTTAGCTTTAAATTATGGTTAGAAAAGTTTTTGCTGGATATCAGTTTTTTTTTTTAAGATCTGTGATAAACAATAACATATAAATGTAAAATAACGAGAAATTAATGTCTGAAAGTGAATATTTTTCGTATTTCTTATACTTGTCGACGTAAATCAGACAAAAGCAAACTTTATNAAAATTATTTTTTTGATCAAAGTTTGCTTGTGTAAAAACTAGAGCAGTTTTTCAATTTTTCTAGAAAAATTCCTAATTTTAAAATTTTTTTTTAAATTAATGTCTGAAAGTGAATATTTTTCGTATTTCTTATACTTGTCGACGTAAATCAGACAAAAGCAAACTTTATGAACTAAAAATTAAAATTCAGGTGTTTTTTAATGTTTGGAATGAGAATCTAAGCATGAGAACAGAAACCCAAAAAAAAACATTTTTTGTTGACCGGTCTTGTTATTTGAAAATAATAAATATAATAACTCTTACTTAATAAAAATGAATTATGATAAGCTAGAAGATTATCAGCATGCACATATTAGTACCATCAGTCGAAAAATTAGCAGCATGCTGTTAAGTGTCTGTAAACGAAAGAGCACCGGCTGTTGGACGCACNTGAACTAAAAATTAAAATTCAGGTGTTTTTTAATGTTTGGAATGAGAATCTAAGCATGAGAACAGAAACCCAAAAAAAAACATTTTTTGTTGACCGGTCTTGTTATTTGAAAATAATTTATTGTAAAATAATAAATATAATAACTCTTGTGGCGCATGGTTGCATTTTTGTCTACAATAATTTGAATAAATTAG